GAAGTGACTTAGAAGTACCCCTTTGTTCCATGCTGCAATTCTGTAAATATTCTGTATGTGTGAATGAGCAAGAGAATGTTTTAGGAGAGATAAGTGTGAAGGCTACTGCATGCTCAAATGGTCAGAGGAGGGGCTGAGGACTTAGAAGCACCAAATAATTATCAACTAAGTGAAAGAACTCAGAAGACACATACTACCCGAGCAGATTGACGAACCATGAAGCTAGAGGCAAGCACCCCTTGATAGGGAACCAATAACAACTTTCGCTGGAAAGACAACACCCCCAAGGCGTTGTCAGCATACTGATATCAGATGACTGCGAGAACAATGTCTTCCCAATAAGCACGTCATAGGAAGATTGATTGTGATGCTGAATGACCGATTAAGGCCTGACAAGGCAAAATGCATAGACTTGCATGGAAGGAAAGTCCGGTTAAAGAAAGGGTGTCTTGTATGGTTCTTCGGGTTCTGTCCTGATAAGATCAAGACCAGGAAGGGCATCAGTCCAGACTGACATGAACCCAGCTCTTTCCTCGCACCCGACCTATCTGGCCCGACTGGTAGCTATTCCATCGGGGTGGGAGGGTGGGGTGTGTGTGTGTGTGAATGCATATGCTACTTTGTTATATTATCAATAAATGTGGCGTGTTGCCTTGTCCCCCTGAAAAAGATCCCGTGTGCTTCTTTTAAGCATAACACTGCTTTCTAGTGACAGTACTGTCTCTAAGGAGCTTTTCCCACTGGTTGCTATACTGAGTTTTTATAGTACTAGCTTGAGTTCCATCCTGTTGTTTTCATATTCCAGCCTCTCTCCGTTTAAATTGTCACAGTTGCTTAGTTCCATCATGTCTCTTTTCAGTACATAGCATCCCATTTCTGCAATATCATGTATATAAACCAAACACATAACTCTCCCTTTTGCAATTTTCTCCTTCTTGTCACCATTCCTATTAAGTTCATGGAAGAGCTGAATAATAAGGGAGAAGTTCATTTTTCTGTGGTTTTACTCATGAGCAATCAACTGGTCTGTTCTGAAAGAAATTCAACTGGTTCACTTCATGAAAGATTATACTGAACTAGATCAAAATCTTCAAAGTGGTGTTTGGGCAACACAAAATCCTGAAATAAAGAGTTCAGTGTACACATCCTTGAAAGTGCTGTTCGTGTTTCATAGCTGGGGATGGGAGAACTGCTTCAGATGAAGTAATATGTTCCTCTCTCACTCCCATCCTATTTTTTACACAGTTCTATATGGTGTACACTGCACTGTTCAGAACAGTAGATGTGCCATTTGAGTTATTAAGTCCCCATCTCTGAAAGCTTACACTCTTAAGGCACTAGCAATTAAAATACAACTCAGATCATGTACAATGGAGCAGAAAGTTTTTCAAAATTTGTTTGATGTAAAATAGTGAAGGAAACAGGGAGCTTAACTAGGGACCCTAGCTTATTTTTATACCAAATTTGAAAGAAATCTTTTGAGATTTTAAAAATTTCAAGTTACGTTGTTGTTTTTTCTGTTCTAGGACCAGAACTAGAGGGGATAACTATCTCACCTCCAACCAACTCTCAGCTTCCCTGTGGACTTGACAGTTTTACCTGTAGAAACCCTGCTAATCTTTCACAGCAGCTTCTTCTGTCTCAAGCCACTAGGGGAGTTAGGGGGATCAATAGCCCAGGGAGTAGAATTTGCAGCCCCAGTTCTCCATGAAAGTTCACACATTTCCAATTTTTTCCTGTGTCCTTCCTATGCCCTTCCTCAAAAAATATTTCCATTGTGCCGGAACTGATCTCATTGAATCAGAATCTCCTTGGCTACATGATCAAGCTATATGCAAAACTACCCCTTGCTCCCAAAACTAAAACCCCAATTCTGACACAGAGCTAGGAGGCAAAACACTCCTTGTTCCTATATGTTGCATGTTTCATAGATATTGTGCTCCCAATACACAGAATAAAGGGTCCACCTGAAATCCAGTTCATAATTCTTGCTACACTCCTAGGCCAGCCCAATTCAAAAGGTGCTTTTACTCCAGATAAACTTGCCATATGAATAGTCTATACACATAGCACAGTTACATTCACCAAATTCCATTGAATTAATATTTTTGATCACCTATTAATCGTAACTAAAAATAAATCTTATAAAAGTATTTATACATCAATCTCAAAATGCTTTATAAATATGATTTGTGCAACAAAACACTCTTGTGAGTTAAAGGACAATGTACTCACCATTTTACCAATGAAAATTCTCGCAGGCAGAAGTTACAGTAAAACTCCACTGGTCCAGCACTCTTGATGGTCCAGAACCATCTGGAACCTGGAAGTGCTCCGGGAAGCTGGACAGTTGGAGCTGCTCTGCCCCCGGCTTCCCCAACTCAGCCGCTGCTGAAACTGACCAGCAGCGGCTGACTTGGGGAAGTCTGAGGCAGAGCAGCTGGGGTGCTGCCGGGTTGGTCCTGCAGCGCCAAGGGGCGCATCCCCCCCACTCCACCCCAGACCCCTCATAGCCCCCCCTTCCGATAGTCCAGCATATCTGATAACCCAGCACCCTCTGGGTCCTAAAGGTGACAGATTATCAGAAGTTTACTGTATATGACCATCCAAGCTACTACCTAAAATTAGTAGCCAAGTCACAAGAAGAATCCAGAAATCTTGATTCCTAAAACACACTCTCACCACAGGCAATACGAGTAAAATTTTCAATACCTAAGTGAATAAGGAGCCTAATCCCATTAAGTTTTAAGTGCTTTTAAAAATATTTTACCCTTTTTCTCTAATTAATGCAAAAAGAACATAATTGCTTTTCTAAAATGAACTATAATAATCCTGCTTTTTCTAAGTTAAAAATGTGTCACTTCTGCAAATAACTTATTCGTTATTACTATGATGCACCATTACTTTATTATGCAGTACAGTCATAATAGAAAAATAATAAAGCTTCACTAAACAGTATGGAATTATTTAAAGAAGGAAATAGTAATTATTTTCCTAATTTTTTTCATAAAAGTAGAATTTGCTAAAAGCACTCCATGTAGTGTCATAATTATTAGTAATAGCACACCCTGCTAATGTGTTCCTGCAATTTACAGTCCATTACTTGCAGAAATAACATGTGACAAATCTGTTTCAAAAAAGTTACACATTTTCTGCACAGCAAGTATACTTCAATAAAATCACTGGCAATCACTGAATTTCATGTTTGCCAATGAAGATAAAGAGCAAAACCTTTTTAAGTAAAGCCTCAGAGGCATCTTGTGACCTTCATCCATTCATGGTGAAGACTGATATCCTAGCTGTAACTGACATCTCATGTTTTACTAAATACTTTATTGAAGTCCATCGCTCTCTGTATGCAAAGAAAAACACTTCTTATATATTATAGAGCTATATACTCGACATCTTATAGCCAAGCATATTGATATGTATCACTGCTGTTGGGTGATAAAATTATACCTTGGCCTATACAAGATGACAAGGAGCATAAGCTCTCTCCTTCATTGCACTGACTACTCACATTGCCAGCCAGAGCACAGGGAGAGCACAGGCTGCACAACTTTCCCCACTTCTGTGAAGGCTGGTAGGGAATGGAAGGGCAGTGACCATGGACTAGGATAACAGTACAATCTTCCTCTTGCACATCATTACACACTTTTTTTTTTTAACTTAAGCAGAGTAATATAGCAATTACAGTGTGCTAACTGAAATATTCTCTTGGTATCTGCAGGTAGGCCCAAGGCCCTGAGCTAAGCCCCCGTTCCCTTAGTTAGGGCTCTCAGTTGCAGCCCCTAAAGCCCCTTTCTTAATCTGGCCATGCATCCGGGGATTAAAATAGATCGAATCAGGGGTCATGGGGAGGATCTCTGCACACTTAGCTATAAAGAAGGGGGATATCAGGGGAGAGGGAGGGTACTATTTACCCAAGATAGGGTACTATTTACCCAAGACACTCCCTTTTGCTTTTACCAAGGAAAAAAATAATTGAATTTTCCTTACATTAGCCCATCCTATAAATCATCTTGGTGTATGGCTCGAGCCAATAGACCACAGAAAAAAGAGGAATCTAAGGGGACCTAGTGACAATATTCCATTGTCTTGAGGATAAGGTCAAAGCCTACTGGATTATCTAGTCCATCTTTAATTTCTGTTATCAGTAGCAGAGTGGTAAATCTAATAGCATGAGGGGTATTTCTGATGATGGATAGTTACTCTGTATTTGCATTAGCACAATATAAATAAAACTATTTCTCCTCCAGCACCCAAAATCTTTTTGCTTACATGTCTGGTATAATCCAGCAAATTTGTGAGCATCAAATAACTGTATAGTAGAAAACTACAGCTGTCAGGAGGCAGAAATGATTGGCAGAAGATGTAACATGAAACCTGAGGCTACACCTATTGAGTCTATGCAAATGCAACGGGCCTTGTTAACTTTCCAAGTATCCCAGGTTTAATTTAAAACCAACTGACAGCTTACAGAGCTTTCAGTAAGGAGAAGCAATTTATATAAGGGCCATGATAGCCCAAAAAAACCCAAAACAAAAACAAAAACAAATCCCACAACCTTTAAGTGCACCTATCTTTACCAGAGCTAAAGACATTCTGCATGCTTTATTATTTTACCAATTTTTAAATGAAGCATTTTAAACCTACTGTTAATCCTTTGATACATTTTCTTCCCCCATATACACCATTTTTAATTAGACTTAATCCTAAAGATCCAACTTATAGCTAAAACAAACACTGAATACTTACACTAATTCAAAATGTGTCTTAAAAGCAAATAACCTGAAATCTGATTTAAAAAAAATAGTCATGCAGTATGCTACAAGGAATAAGCTACATAGTGCATCCGCCATTATAATAACTAAGTATGCAATAATGAATCAGGGAGTATCTTTACGCTCCAAAAACATCACTGACAAAATAAGGAGTGATGAGTAAGACTGCATTTATGCAAGTAAGAAAGGTTTGCAGACATAAAAAACAAACAGTACCTGTCGAAGGTCCAGTGTAATTGTAACATGATGATATTCTATTCCATTCTGGATACTGGGACTCTGCCACCAAGTGTTCTTCCCATCAATTGCATTAGTTATTGGGTGGCGTTCTATGGGACCATTGGCAATATGCAAAAGAAAAACATCTTTAGAATAGCCAGCAGTGGTTTGGTGGTAGCATTTAGTCAAAACAGCATGTGAGTAGAATACTGTACATAAAAGAACTTCCATGAGTTTGTTGGTTTTATGGCACAGATTGCAATCTGTTCTAATGGTGAACTGCAAACCTTTATTATGAAGTATAAAAAAGACTTTTTAAACCTCCAAATCTGTAACAGAATACAAGCACAGACTTAAAGAGAGAAAATAGCACATTAAAACAAAATAACCAATCATCTGTTTGTCTTTCACTTTTGAAAAAAGGCCTGAATTTAATATTATGTTTTCCTTGCAACTTCCAAGGGTATCACAGTCAACTAAACCAGCATTTCCAGGCACATAGTTTGAGATCAGGAGTGTGAGCCAGTGTGACGAACACAAACCAGGAATTTGGGACTTGAAGACAGGAGAAGGAGAAATTACTGTGGTTGGTTTTGCTAATATATGTGTTTGGATGGCATAGGCAATCAAGCAGTTTTCATGCAGAAATAAATTCCATTTTATTCTACACAGAGCTAATCCAGGGATCATCACTGTGTTATCTGAGTGTTAATATGAATAGCAAACTGCTAAGTAAAATTCATTCTACTATAAAAGGTTGTCCTCAAGACCCTATGAACTATTTAGGCCCTCTTATGGTACTCAGAAGGTGAGGGGGTTTGCTTGCACTCTTTGGCTTAGTCTACACTGCAGGGTTTTTGTGCAAGAAGCCTTTTGCGGAAGAGATCTACCGCAAAAACTTCTTGCACAAAAGTGCATCCAGACCTCAAAATGTATCGCAAAAGTGAAGTGCTTTTGTGCAAGAAAGAGTCCACACTGCATGGAAACTCTTGCGCAGGAAAGCTCTGATGGCCATTCACAATGCCACACCTGCCTTTCTGCACAAGAGTTGTAGCGCAAAGAAGAGTTATTCCTCGTGGGGAGAGGAATAACTGTACTGGCAAAAGCCCTCTGTTCTGCCAATTTTCTTGCGCAAAAACACGCTTGAGGTGTGGACGCTCTGCTGGGTTTTGCGCAAATACCTTGTACTGTAAACATAGCCTATGAATTCAGGTAAATGTCATTTAGTAATTGCAAAAAAAGCATTTTCACTCTACATGTTTCAGGAGGCTCTGCTCCTGTGCATACAGGATAGTAGCCTGCCTTCAATGCAGAAGCATCTGCACCTACAGAAATCACTGATTTACCCAGGAGCAAGACTAATTCTAAGAATGAAAAGTCAGAAGGTATTTCAAAAACAATACGTCTCCTTCATTCAGCTGCTAGATATAGAAGATATTATACCCAGTCAGAGAATGTATTATTCTTGAGGTATCAAGCACCTGATAAATGTTACCCTTTTGTCTAGAATGGCTTCCTAAAAATGCACTGCTAGATATATAAAATGGGAAGAAAAAGGAGTCATTTATTGTTCTTAGATTTCTAGGGGACTAAATCAAACTGGAGAGTTTGCCGGCCATTTATTTGTTTTTAAGTTAACTCACCAGATTGAAAGTCTATTTTCTGTGGTTTCGTATCACGTCAGTTGGAAGACAGGAATCCTGCCTCATTAATGAAAGCCAGAATGTCTGAACGTATTTAAAGAAACAATTAAAGTGTTTTGTGGGAGTGAGGGGAGGTGTCAGTCCTTCAAATTGCAAATGTTAGAAGTGTATTTAAATATCAAATGACTCAGTGGCACTAGTGGGCACTAGCATTTGCTTGGTATAATATTAGTGGTACAAATAGAGGTATTATTGGTGTGGGTAACTGGGAAATGTTTGCTTCAATGTGTAGTTATATTGTTAAAGAAATTAAGCGGGGAGTGTAAAACAACATCCCAGAGAAGACTTCCATCAAACACAATAGCCAGGTTTAAAGAATAGGCCAAGAAGGGAAGGATCACAAGCTGAGAGAGAGAAAGAAAGAGAGCAAGAGAGAGAGCTTGCTGCAGCAAGTGGCTCCAGTCTGGTCCCCAAAGGCATAGCTACAAAAAAAGGAATAAGGGATCTTTCGGAAAAGGCTTTATTTTCCGAAAGATCCCCGGCTAGACTGGCGCTTTTTGCCGGCAAAGCCCCGAGTCGGAAAAAAGCGGCAGCCATGTAATGCAAATGAAGCGGGGGTGATTTAAATCCCCGCTTCATTTGCAATTGCGATGTGTCTAATTTGCATCCCTTTTACGTAAAAGGGATGCAGTCTAGACACAGCCCAAGAGAATGGGGCATCAAGGCTAAGTAATGTCTACCTAGGACCTTAAGGGAAATAAGAAAGTAGGTAGGGCTTCTGGTTTTAGGTTTTAACCAATCAATACTTCCAATTAGTCAATAAACATGGTAAAAACTCCAGATAGAGTTACTTGTATCTAAAGGCTTATCTAGAAGGTAGGATAATGTGCTCTATAGGGTGCGATTTCTAAAGCACATTAATCCAGTGCTGGGCAACCTGCAGGCCATTGGGATTCTATATGTAGCCCACAAGACATTTTGCTTACCATTGCCCACATGCTGGGTTGCCAGATTCCACTGGTTTCCACCCACAAATTTTTTTCCCTACTGGTATTACTAAAGTGACACACGTGTAAAACAAGGGCATGTGAAGTTTGCTAACTGTTTGCTAACTGTGCAAACATTGAGGGCTCATCTAGACTACGCTAGAGTGTTGAAAGAGGATATGCAGTTCCTGTGGAATTTGCATGTCTTCTTATGATCTCACTTTCAAAAGCAAAGCTTTCGAAAGTGAAAGTAGTTTAGATGAGGCTTTTTCAGCAACCCCCGCC